TGTGAGTTCAAGGCCAGCCTGGTCTACAAAGCGAGTTCCAGGACAGCCAAAGTTATACAGAGAAACCCTGTCTCAAAAAACCCACACACAAAAAGAGCCAGGTGTGGGTGGTAAAGACCTGTAAGCCCAGCATGCAGAAGGCTGAGTTTGAGGCCAGCCTAGACTATAGTTAGTAAGACCCCTTTTTAAGAAATACCCCCCTCTCCCGGCACACACACATATGCAAGCACACAGTTGAATAAGAAACAAAAGCCATAACTGCCCCTGCCCCCCAGTTCAGGGTACTTTCTGCTCTGTACTCACCTAAGTGATATGTAAGTGGCCATGAATATACAACATGCTGTAAAATGTACCATGTGGACAGAGCTGACCTCTGACCCCCAAGTGCTGGATTCAGGCATTCACTACCATGCCACATGTGAATCACTTTTATTATTTTAAAGAAAGTCAGCAACCTCATAAAATTTGAGTCATAAATTTTACAGAATTATATTACAGAGGATACAGCATCTGGGTGTGGTAGCTCCTGCTGTATCCCAGCACTCCAGAGGCTGAGGCCAGAGGACCCCAAGTTCTACTGGTCTACCCAGGAAGTTCAAAGTCAGCCCAAAATACAGACCGAGACCTTGACTCAATAAAACTAAACTAAAATCATGCAAAATATAAAAAAGAAATTCCAAAATAAAAATATGCTACGGTACTGGAAAAGGAAAAGAAGAAGCTGTGTGTATTCCTAGTAAAATACAGTGAGAAGCAACTTGAGAAGGAAAAAAACTCGACAGTGGCTTTACTGGCCACAGGAAATATTTTATAAATTTCCTACAAAGAAATTAACGTTAGTTTCACAGCAAAGAAAAGGTATAAACATGAGCTCACACAGTATTAAAAACAGAATGCCTCCACTGATGGCTGCAGAACCACAGGGCCTTCAAAAATGTCCTCCTGATATGTTCAAAACCCAGGCTGTGAATAAGAACTATAGACCTAAAGCAATCTACTCTCTGCCTTGCTATACTCACAGGCACCCACCGTGGTTGCACAGAGTATGGCACAGACAGATGCTGAGGTAGCTAAGAGCCCGCTATGCTTATGGGTGGTGTCAACTGTGATTACTACTGGGTTTCCTGTTTATTAACCCAGTTGGTCTTTCTAACACAATACTCACCTTTGCTAGTTGCTCAGCAAAATGTATAGCAGTCTGAGTGTGGAGTGTAACTGGTCCTGTTTTTATTCTGGAAATTCCATTTGCTAGTGCCATGAAAATAATCAGCTATTAAAAAAAAAGAACAAAGAAGAAAAATCTCACAAATATGGTAATATTCAAAATTTCAAATTCTATGGCCACCCATAAGGAAAATGCTACTAGAAATCAAAACAGCTTTTAAAGGGAATTAAAAGAATAATTTCCATTTTCTTTATGTTTCCAGAAGCTTTAGAAGGAGACGGAGAGTATGTGTCAACCAGAGTCAATGACCTGATGAATGTTTAGCCAGACTGACTTTAAAATCTATGTTTAAGAATAAATTAGAGAGCTGGACACTACTATACTAATCAGACTGCATATTTCTGCCAGCTGGTATGCTTGACAAGTTTTTCTACTCTGCTAAAATTACATTTCAAAAGGTAAATGGAGACATCAGAGTTCCTGGGATTATGGACTTCGACCAGAAGGCAATGACTAAACATAAGGAAAACTGTCCCAAGAAAATGGTCAAGAAAACCTGAAGAACCCTTCCTCTTCCCTTTTCTTCTTCGTTCTGAGGATCAACCACATGATTCTAGGCATGTTAGGCAAGAGCTCTACCACCAGCAGCCGTAGCACACATTTCTAACAGTAGACTGCGAACTAGAGAAGAAGGTATGGTAGAAAGGAAAACACACAGATAGTGAAGCATAAAAACCCGTCTCTGTCAGGACTGGCAGTGCACACCTGTAACCCCAGTGCTTTGGAGGCTGAGGGAGGACGGCCAATGTGAGGTCACAGAGACCTTGTCTCAAAAGGAGAGTGGAGGCATAAGTGTTCAAGAGCATGTCCCAGTGTGGGTCCATCCTTGAGAAGGTGTGACATAGCCCAGCCAAGGCATTCACAGGAAAATAATGATGAGCACTTAAGAAAGGTCTGGGCAGTGACGAATCTGGGAGTTGTCACTATACAATTGGTACTTAAGTCATGAGACTGGAAAAGGTAACCAAGGAAGGACAGGTAAGAAAGCAGGAGCCTCAGACGCTTTAAAACTGACAAGAGAAAACAGCAACTAACTAGCAAAGTGACTAGAAGAGAAGAGAAGAGCATTTCAGAATTAAGCAAAGAAAACATACCAAGAAGAAAGCAAAGGTGCTAAAGCCGGGCCAAGAAAGGCAGGGACTCAAATTCCAGAAATACAATTTTTGTTTTCTTTTGTTTTTCAAGGCAGGGTTTCTCTGTGTAACAGCCTTAGCTGTCTAGCAACTAGTGCTGTAGACCAGGCTGGACTCAAATTCACAAAGATTCATCTGCCTCTGTCTCCTGAGTGCTAGGATTAAAGGTGTGTGCCACCACTACCCAGCCAGAAACGTAAATTCTAAGAGAAAACTTTTAAAATGATTGAAATAAGACTTTCTACAATTAAATAGCATGTGAAAAAACTATATTCAAGCCAAGTATGGTGACACATATCTGTAATCCCAGTATTCAAGAAGCAAAGTGCATGTTGAAAATTCAAAGTTAGCTTGGACCAGAAAGCAAGCAAGCTCCTGTTTCAAAAAAAAAAAAGTTCCAGTATAGACACATCTAGACTGGAAATACCTTGCACTGAGACCAAGAGAATGAGACAAAAGTGTCTGTATACTTGATGCCACAGTTAAAGAAATCTGTATTCAACATAATTGTGTTCAAACCTAGCAAGAAAGATGGTTTTGACCCTGAAAGTGTCGTTGACGTTACCTGGTCTTGCAGATACTCGTCCACAGTGCCGCCATGTCTGAGATTTGCTAATAGCACTTCAGCAGCTTCAATTCCAACCTTGTCTGCATTCACACCTAAAACACCAGGAGCAATAACAAACAACATAACAACAAATTACTCCACGTCACCAAGTTTAACTGAACTGAATAAGGTGATACACCCTTGAAATCACAGCACTTGGGAACCTACACAGGACTGTTCCAAGGTCAAGGCCAGCCTGGGCTATAAGAGTGGAATTCTGTCCCAGAAAAACAACCAGAAAGTTTATTTAGTACATCCATTTCAGTTAGCACTGAGGTAACATGTTTTTAGGCTCTGGACTTAACCAATGCACTTTTTAGGAAGGATCTTACATTATTTAATCTTCTGAAACTTGAGAAATGCCAATGTGTCAATGCCATAAGTATAGGAAAAATAGATTGTTTGGTCCCTGCTTAAAAAACACTAATTATGGAGTGAGATGGTTCAATTAGTAAAAGTACCTGTGGTCAAGCCTGATGAACCAAGTTCAAGTCCCAAAAACCACACGGTGAAAACATGTGAAAAACACGGTGAAAACGGACTCCTGACCTCCACATGTGCTCTGTGGCATGCATTTCTTAAAAACAGTTCTCATGGCTGGGGATGTGGCTCAATGCTGGAACACCCACCTTGCATATGTAAGGCTCTAGCTTACCCAGAGCTATGAAAAAACAAGTACAAAAACAAAACCACAACAAAAACAAAAAAGCAGGGGTTGCAGACAGGTAC